TTAAGTCAGATGCATATTTTTATATATTTGCATACAACATGCTATGTGCACATCAAATACTATATACAGAGAATAATGGAGCTAGAAACATCTTGAAAAACAATGTAACTAGAAGGTGGCAAGTCATTTCATATTCATTGCATCCAAGTGGATTTATGCAATACTTATATCAGAACAATGTTGGCATTTGGGAAGAACCTAAAGTACATGAAATGTAAAAGAATTTGTAATATAAGCTGATACACATGTATGTCTGAGTATCGATCAGGATGTTTTCACCAATCAATCCCTTCCCTGAAAGTAAGGAATCCTTTCTTAATACTCTCTAAAACTCTCCTTTATACCTTTCTTAATGCAATACCTGCAACAGTAAAGACTCTGTTGTAAGTAAGCACTCTAACTTGCTCATCTTCACAATCTTTCTGAAGGCCTACTCTTACTACTTTGGGTTTCTTTCTTAAGATTTTTTTATTTTTGAGGCAGGGGCAAGAGGTAGAGAGGGCAGGTGGGGAAGGGGCAGAGAGAAAGAGAGAGAGAAAAAGAATCCCAAGCAGGCTCCACATTGTCAGCTCAGAGCCTAATGTGGGGCTCGAACCTACAAACCATGAGATCATGACCTGAGGGAGAATCAAGAGTCAGACACCTAAATGACTGAACCATCCAGGGACTCCAGAGTTTCTTATTCTCATTGTTTTGTTACAATTATTAGTCCAATACTTTTAATTAGCCATAAAATTTTAAATATCCTAAACTCAGAGAATAAACAAATTTAGTTTGAGTTTTAATACAAAACAAAACACAAAATCAGCCATGTTCTGAATTTAGACAGACTTGTGTTGAAATTGCTGTACCACAACTGAGTAGGTTTTGAAGCTTTCCAAACCTCCTATTGATGGCATTCGTAGAGAGGGACTACATCTGCAAAGCACACTGAAAGGAATAAAAAACCTTTTCGTGGTGGTCAGATGAGACCCATCCCGGGGCTCTCTACAGATGTCCAAAGGCTCAAAGAATCAAGATCTTGGCACACAGTCAGGGAACAGAAATCTCTGGGTTATGCTGCTTTTGATCCATTAATATAATCTCTGAGCCTCAGTTTCTGAATTTTAAATATATATAGAAATACTTTCTTTGTGAACCCATTGAGATGGCTGGAAAAAATAGATGTGAAACACCTAGCATTGTGTTAGACCCTAAGTAGACACTCATAAATAATACCTTATAACTTTAGTGCCAATAATAATAATATTCAAAATATAAGTCACATGAATAAAGAACATACTCTTCATGGAACAGCAGCCAGGTGCATCGTCGTCACTCTGAAGTAGGCTGCTAACAGAGGATAGGCTGATTGATTTTTTTGAATGTGTAAGCAAAGAGCCTGAAGTATATTAAAGCTAATACTAACAATTTCATAGGTAAACCAAAGGCTTCTCTAAAACCACATTCAAGTGAAGAGCAGAAGTAGCTATGAATCAGGGCTGTGCATTCAGTCAGAATGTATATGAGGAGGTAGATAAAGAGCACAGCGAAACACTGCTCAAGCTTTATGTTGGCAGAGATAGAATCTCAGAATGACTGGAAAGGCTCTCAAGAGACCAATGGCACAACTCACAGATTAAGTAGGTACTTTCCTATACTCAGGTTGAGCATAAGGAACTACATTGCCCTTTTCAAGCCTGGTACTGACATTTTTAAAGGCTGTCGATTTTATGTTTTGTTTCCTTTGACAAACTCAGTCATCTGATTGGACACTTTTCCTCGCACAGTCAATATGTGAACAGGCTTTCAACACTGATACTAAATGTGCCTGCAATTTCACTTATTACTTTGTTAGCCACAGATGGCTCACTCTCCACCATGGAACCTGATTGATCCAGACTGATCTGTTGCTGTCCTCGTCAGAGTAGACAACCATCTACTTGATTCTGCAGGCCCAAACCTTCCTTCATATCTTGGCCATGAAAGAAGCCCCGACCAAAGGTTCTCTGGACATTCTGGGATGGATGTACCTATAATCCTTGACTTAACGTTGATATTTGAGATCTAGAGTTAAATACAGGAAAAGGGAATGAATTAAGATCTAATAGGGCCTATAACCAGACAACCAAGGCACCAAACAAATATCAACTTTTAGAAATAAATCAATTATCAAGAAGCTAATATCAATGTTTCAAACTATTAATAATTGTTTCTGATTCAGTGAGATAAATATTAACTTCTCTGAGTTTTTGAACTAGAACAACAGCAGTTAAAATACTGTGGCCTATTCAAGGACGGGTGGAACAGTATGATATATAATATACTACATATTGATGTTGTTAACACACATAAAAGCAAATGCAAATTAAATTACTCCATGAAGTTAAAGTCTCTAAATTTTTTTAAGTTTTTTAATGTTTGTTTATTTTTGAGAGAGAGAGAGAGAGAGGGAAAGAGGGAGACACAGAATCCAAAGCAGGCTCCAGGCTCTGAGTGGTCAGCATAGAGCCCGACGCTGAACTTGAACTCATAAACTGCAAGATCATGACCTGAGCGGAAGTTAGACGCTTAACTGACTGAGCCACCCAGGCAGCCCAAGTCTCTAAATTTTAAATATAACATATTTAGTTCTCATTTTCCCAGTATTTCATACTAAATACAGTATACACTTCTTTCCCTAAAGAAATGGAAAGCATTATTTGATTTGAAATGAATGTTTTAAATGTCTTAAGTTTGATTTCTAAGGTCATAAATCATAAAGATCTGATTACATGTAATATGCTTCAAATTAATCATAGGTACATTTTACATACTTACAACCACTTTTCCTCCTCCTTCAAGTAACAATGAGAGAACACTAGAACCTAAATGCTTTGTGCCTAACTGTGCCGTAATCTACATCTCAAACTTTTTATATACTTATTTAAAATTGGTAGGATTATCATATACACTTTGGCACTTCAAGTGTCAAAAATATTTTTAAAGAAATAAGAATCAAATTGCCACCTTATAACTTGAATGCAGGATGAAGCCTTGAGGGGAGAATGCAACAACTAAAGGCAGTGGCTTTCAAGTCTTTTGCAACAACAAACATGAATCCCCCCCCCAACAGTTCACGGTTGGATATGTGTATTCACTCTGTCAGGGTCAGGCTGGCCGAAGTGCATATTTACTCTAATCAAGACAATTATGTGTAGGCAAACTTGCCCACTATTTGTCACCTAAAGTTTAAATAAAACTGTCATCAGTGAGCATCCTCAATGCTGAAAATCAGGTTCAGTCATTTACTTCTAGCATATTTTAATATAACAAATATTTGAATATTAGTTAATTGGAACAAATCACTTGAGATTCTGGTCACCCTCCTACTACTTGCCAAATTCAATGATCTTTGGGCGTGAATCTATACAAGAAATTCAATGATCTTAAGGCCTGAATCCATACATGTCACATTATTTACTACTCTCATTAACTCTCAAGCCCCCATCCCACCACTCAGACCCTCACAATTATTTGAATTTTAATTAATTATTTTCCTGTTTTCACCATCCCTAACCCCTTCACAGATCCCTAAGGTATAAATACATGTAAGCTCTACTCCTTAGGAATTATTCTTCTCCATTCTTCCATCTTACTTTTCTCAATATTCAAACACACAGAGGATCCTGCCTACTCCTTATTAATCATAAATTCTTTCCTGTTTTCATGTAATTTTCTTGACTTTGTCCCCTTAGCAAACAGCATTTATTTACATGTACAACATATCAAGATATAGGTATCAGATTTGGCCATGTGACTTGCCTTAGCCAATGAACTGTGAGCACAAGAATAGCATGTCCTAAATAGGGGCAGCTCCTTCTTCTGATGAGTGAACAAAATGAAGGGAACGTAGGGCAGTCACAACCAAACCACAGCCAGCATGTACTGTGAAAAATAAGCTTGTGTTGTTGTAAGCCATTGAAATTTGGAGATTATCTGTTACTGCAGCATAATTTAGAGAAAACTAATACATCATACACAGTACATAAGTTTATAGTGATAACTAAATGAGATAATGTGAATGGTGATAAGCACTACGCTGGCAACACAAGAAATATTCAAGACATGTGAGCTATTATCAAGTTGGCAAACTTCCATAAGTATCTGTTTCATTTTTCCACATTCTTCAAATTAGAGAACTATGTGTTGTCTCAATAGTAATTCTTGATATGTCTACAAGAGTGGTAGGTACTTAATAAATATGTATTAAATAAAGTAAAAGGAAAAAAGTAACAAAACTTAACCTGAAGAGAGCCACAGTAGGAGTAGCAAGCTATAGAGGAAGGAGGGGAAAAAAATAATGACATCACTTTTTTATTCAATATGTACTTACTGAACACTTAACTACAAGTCAAAGTGATATGCACTAAGGAGACAACTGTGTCTTCACTGAGATGCGAAATAATAAAAAGTAAGCAGCAATTGTATGTGTCCTTCCATGTGGAAAAGCACAGTTACTTAGAAACCAACAGAAGGGGTCTAGGAAGTTTTCTTCAAGTTGTGGCCTCAAGAATAAATGGGAGCTGGGTAGATGAAGGACAGAAAATGTGGATATGGAAAGAATGTTTCAGGCAGAGCAAGGAGCTGATGATTATTATTTCCCAGAGGAAACAGATAAAACCATCTGTTGTCACTAAAGGGGGCAGAGGAAATAAAGCTGATCTTCAGAAGTTACATAAGGCCCGATGTCTTCATTACAGCAAATAGTAAGGAAGCTGATGGGACTGAGAACATTTTCTAGGACTGTTGCTGGTTTACTGGAAAGCACAGAATTGAGGTGGCATTGATCTACAGAGTGGTGTGATTTTTGAAAGCGGCACTCGGACTGGTTTTAGTCACAGGAAAGCAGGCGGGTAGCTTGTGTCAGAGTAGCTTCTGATGACAGATGGTTGCAGTGAAGCCAACAAGGAATTGGAAATGTGGACACTGGCAAGGATGTGGCTGCTGCCATGGACCATGATGTTTAAGACAGAAGGGGCGCCTGGGTGGCTCAGTCGGTTGAGCATTCGACTTCCGATCGGGTCATGATCTCAGTTCGTGGGTTCGATCCCCGCATCGGGCTCTGTGCTGACAGTGCAGAGCCTGGAGCCTGTTTCAGATTCTGTGCCTCTCCCTCTCTCTGATCCTCCCCTGCTCATGCTGTCTCTATCTAAAGGGAAAAAAAAAAAAAAGACAGGAAACTAAAGAAAGCACTTCAACTCCTCAATATGCAAAAGGAGACTTTTAAGGGACTGAAGGTCTCAATGAAGCTGAAGCATGGATTTTCTTTTTTAATTAGGTTCCATATACTCTCTGAAAGAGTTGCTATCTCAGTACCAACAGGATATATTAAACACTGCTCTCTGTCAACTACCAAATACAGGCATGACTTAAGTGAACTGAGAGACTATTACTACTTATTTGCATATCACTTCCCTTGATTTCAAGTGCTTTCACATTCATTGAAAATACCTCATTTGACTGCCATTACTATGTTGTTGAGTAAAGGAAAACCATCTTTATTGTGTTAACTGGAAAAAAATGAGATTTAGGCAAATTTTACAACTTGCCTGAGGTCCCAAGGTGAGTTTGTGATGGACTTTAAGTAGAACCCAGCTTATTCCTCTTTGACGTGTGCCTCTTCAGCAGAAATCTATGCTGAAAACAGATGCAGAAGACTATCTGTATGTCAAAACCTCAGTACATACTGAAATTGCCTACCATCTCAAACATGCTCTTCCGTGTGATTCCCAAACCACAGGCCAAAGGCTGGCTTCTGGTCATTCAGGGGAGAAATAGGTTCACGCATGTTGTACCTTCAAGGAGTCATTAGTCTATGTCAGTTTTAACGTTCCTTTCTGAGGCACTGCTTTTGCCTTAATGTCTACCCTTATGGTACAAACACTGTTTTAATTTAATCACTGTAAACTTAAAAAAATATGTCTACAACCTAGTAAAGCTGAAGATCTTTGTTCCTTTTGAGAGATTTTTATTCACCCTTAAGAAAAAAATATATACATTTTATCAAATTTTAAGGATATAAATAGAACCAAGGGATTGGTTCCAGAACCTGAAAATAAATGAATATTCTTACATCCAATCAGTTTTATAAAGCTCCAGGCTATGATATAGATGGTAAACAATTTTCCTAGGTGCTTCTAATTTTAAATTAAAATTGAGGTCACACTGAACTAGTGGAAGTCAAACCCAATTTAGTTCCTTTGATCTCAAACTGGGAAATACACACTTCTGCTTATCCTCTTTACACCTAATAAATGCTTTTCAGATAAACCAAAGAATGTACCACACAGAAATAAGTGGACAATATGGCAGGCACCATATAGAACACTTTTCAAACGCAGGATAAGTTGATTTTGTACAGATTGATTTTACCTTTGCCCATATAGACATTTCTATTAGAATCATAATTAAATGGAACCCTCATTGAGACCTGTTTTGAGTATTACCTTGGCATGTGAAATTAAACAAATCACTCAAACGCCAATTTTTTGGTTTCCTTGCCTGTGCAGTGAGTGTAATTTCCTTGCTCTGAGCAACTTGTAAGTCCCCAAAATTAAATGATTTACCCCAAGATTTTGTTCCTAGTTAAGTGACAGATAAAAAGCTTAAAAGCTATGTCTCTTGAAGTCTATGGCTACTTGCTCAAAAACAGGTTATGGTATAGTTGTTCCTGAGATCGGTTTTTGTTCATCTTGGAATGGTTTATTTTTAAGGCTCTATAATAGTCTCTTAAAATCTGGTGAAACTTCTTACATTTACAGTAAGAGCAGAGAGAGACAAAGAACACAGATAATCCTAAACAATGCAGAACTTAAAAAAAAAATTCATTTAACTTCAGAATGCAAGATTCTTTGCTGCACTAAAAGATAAAAGATTTATACAACAATATTTTACTAAGTCTCCTATTAAAAACTTACATTAGGGCACCTGGCTGGCTCAGTCCATTCTTGCTTTCAGCTTAGGTCATGATCTCATGGATTGTGGATTCAAGCTTCAGGTTGGGGTCTACACTTACAGTGGGGAGGTTCTCTGTCTCCCTCTCTCTCTGCCCCATCTGCTCAGGCTTGCTCTCTTTCTCAAAATAAACTTTAAAAAAAAAAAAAAAAACTTACATTAGGGGCATCTAGGTGGCTCAGTGGGTTAAGTATCCAACTTTGGCTCAGATCATGATCTTGCAGTTCATGAGTTCAAGCCCCGCGTCGGGCTCTGTGCTGACAGCTCAGAGCCTGAAGCCTGCGTCAGATTCTGTGTCTCCCTCTCTCTCTGCCCATCCCCTGCTCATGTTCTGTCTCCCTCTCTCTCAAAAATAAGTAAGCATTAAAAAAAAAACTTACCTTAGACTTTACATTAAAACATACTTACCTCCTAATAACATACCAATGGCAAGATTTATAACATTCCTAAGAGCAATGAGCAATGTTACACAAAATTTAACATTTTCAGGTTTTAAATAGGGTAACTAACTGTGGTTTCCAACTATCAAAACTGCTAATTGACTTTTTTTTTTTTAATGTTTTATTTATTACTAGGAGAGAGAGAGAGACAGCATGAGCAGGGGAGGGTCAGAGAGAGAGGGTGTCACAGACTGAAACAGGCTCCAGACTCTGAGCTGGCAGTCAGCACAGAGCCCGACGCGCCGCTCAAACCCACGAACCGCGAGATCATGACCTAAGCGAAAGTCGGACGCTTAACCGACTAAGCCACCCAGGCGCCCCTCAATGACTTTTAACTATTAAATAAAATTGATGATTGAAAAGAATGTGTGTGTGTATATACTTAATATTCTAAGTTCCATTCTTTTTTCAGTATCAATGCCTTAAAATAAGCTTCCTTCACTTATTATCTGGATTATTGAAATGTCTCCCTATTTCTCTTTCTCTAATCTTACCATTCTCTAATCGTACCCCACATGCTATCAGAGTTATCTAATAGGCTCATTAGACTGTCATTTCTCTGCTTTTTAGCCTTCACTAGTGCTTGCTAATTTTCAGAATACAGGAAAAATCGCTCAACCTCTACGTCTAAGTCCCTAGGATTTAGCCTCTGCCTTTTCTTCAACCCCAGGCTCCTCTACTAGCCTTATAAAGCTAATCACAGGAACCCAGGACCTGAGACAGAGTATCAAATCTTGGTAAATTTCAATAAACTGTTTCCTCACTCTATGATCCCTTCCTGCCCCTCACTGGCACAGCGGAACTCATTCATATTTAAAGTTGTGCTCAAGTGTATTTTACCTCTCGGTCCGAGGGCTGACTGAGTCTGCATGGCAGTTAGGGTGTTGTTGTGTTTTTATTTTTTTTTAATGTAAACATGACATTATTAAAACCAGTCTAGACCTGCCCCTTGAATGCTGGACAAGAACCTCCACTGGCCCTACCCTGGCTTGCTGCAGCCCAGTTCTCCAGCTTTACCTACCTGGTAACACTGCTCTTCTTGCCCACTATGCCACATGCATTATCGGGAGAAGGGAAAGCAAACCTGAACTCTTTCTCAGCTTTAACATATTCTCTTCCCTCTGTTTCAAGTGTTCTTCTCCCCAACTGGGCCTTTGTTCAGTCCCAGCTCTCATCTTCTATGACTCTTCCTCAGAGAGCCATTTACTTTGCCCAGTTATAAGAAAATTCACTTCTCATCCCCTCTCATAACATATTTTGCTTTCCTTTCATAGTGCTTATCAAAATTTATAATTACTTTTACTTATTTACATGACTACCTGTTTAATGTCTGTCTCTACATCCTCCAGAAGTTCCATGCAGTCCAAGACTGTATTGGTTTTGGACTCATTAATGAACAGGGCAGGGCTCAGATATTTACTAAATGAGCTGAAATCCTCTTTTACTAAGCATCACTATTCTGGAGAATCACGATTTTATCTGACTTTGCAACAATAAAGAATTATACAGTGCAGAATTGTCTATAGTGGATTCTCACTAAATATTAATGAATCGTCAATTTTCAAAGATGAATGAGAAATCCTAATATTAAAACTATGCAAAACAGCATTAACCTTTCTTTGACTCTCTAGAGATATTGACAGACTGTGTATTGCTTTATACTTACATCTTAAGAAAAAATATGATGATGTTTTTGATATGCCACCCATATCCCCCCTCTTCAGGAATGAAGTCTTATTCCCCAACCTGGTGGGAGTATTGTAAGAAGACCTCGTGTGAGCTCACTTTGAAGGGATTGCCTCAGGTGAATAAAACCACTGTTTAAGGTCTGACCTCCTTCCTGGGACATTCTGCATTTGAGATCTAAAGGCCGAACCCCTTCACTCCCCCCACCAAGACAAGACTGTAAAGTCATCCCACATCCAGAGTTCTCCATGGGCTTCACGGAGGCTGGCACAGGGACCGGATCATCATTCAGCTTCTCCATCTACTCACTCATGCTTTTTATCCCTTCACTCCTTCAGGCACTGATCCTCAGAGCCAGTCCTAACAAACAGCTTGCCTGCTAAATCCCATCTCAGGGTCTGTTTCACAGCAAACCCAAGAAATATTAGTGTTCCATATGGATTAAGTAAGAGATAAAACATGTGGCATATTAGTGTTGTGGATTTGTATATATTATTATTAAAGAATTTTTAGGTGTGCCTGGCTGGCTCAGTTAGTTGAATGTCTGACTCTTGATTTCTGATCAGGTCATGATCTCAGGGTCATGCAATTGAGCCCTGTGTCAGGCTCTACACTGAGCATGGAGCCTGCTTTCGATTCTTTCTCTCTCCCTCTGCCCTTCTCCCCTATTCATACATACTCTCTCTCTAAAATAAATAAATGAATAAATAATTTTTAAAAAGAATTTTAAAGCTCTTAGCAGGGTACCATATGTTTCTTTCAACAGCATTATATCAACACCAATTCTGATTAATTTCAGTTGAGCAACTGTTTACACTACATAGATAGGACTGCCCAGGTGTCTTTAATATTAAGCATCATGGTTTGTATTTGTGTGAGGAGAACAAATACATTTTTGAAGATGGTTTTAAGCCAAGGAAGAAGATGATAGAGAGTAAATATGTCATATATGTACCACATCACAGTGATTTGTTTACCTTTC